TAGGAGCACTCACACTTATACCCATATCCAGATTCACACCCGCGCACTCCAAGCCAACCGATGATTTAAATTTTAATGGTACACATGTTTATTTGTGTTTTTATAAGATACAGCAGATTTCAACGAAGAAACGAAAACTTTCCAAAAAGAACTACTAGAGAAAGAGATGCTGACTATAGTCAATACAGAAGTTCGAAATATGCATCTACAAACCATTTCATCTATGTATGAGTCTGAATATAGAATCGATATCGTCATTGACCATAAATCGACCATGATCATACATGAAAAAGAACAATTATAGAGGGGGCGATATTAACCAAGATTTGCATAATAATGTTGATCCAGCGATAGAAAAACATATAGAATATAAATAAAAACAAAACAGAAATAAGTTACGATGTAGAACAAAGAAATGCACAAAACAAGATTGCTAGCAGAGAAATTAAAAGAAACAATTTTCTTTGTGATCAAAGCAGTAGGTAGCAAGTCCTAACAGAAATGGCAAATTTTAGTTTGATCCATATGAATATAATAATAGATGTTATACAACAATAACAAATGACACAAAAAACTATGAAAAATAACATATACTTCATTGTAATACTTCAACCTCATATATAATCTATCCCCTATCCTCGCTTGATATTTCTTCATCTCTTTCTATATGTACTTTGGAGCTATACCGTTAGTTTGTCCTTCTTTCGTACATAATATTGTCCGTAAAAGGAATAACCACAATATGTACTTTGGAATGACATGCTTGAGATGTTTTCCTTTCGTACATAGTGATTTCCATAAAAGGAATAGCCGCAATATGTACTTTGGAAGGACATGCTTAAGATGTTTTCCTTTCGTACATAATGATTCTCATAAAAAGAATAGCCGCAATATCCTTTTCGGATCGTTGTGTATTTTTGGTGTGTTTTTCGCGTGTTCCATAAACAGACCCTAACCCTTGCTCCTCTGGTATTTTTTTGTATTCGCTGTATTTTTCAAGGACGTTCTGTGTATACGGAATAGTATATACGGAACGAGGAAAATACAGCAGTGTCAGACGTTTTCTTGTTATACCAATAAAATACACTTAGAATAGCTTTTAAGTGGTATCTCTTACAACAGAATTCATCACATTCATATATTCAGATAAGTATACCTATGTGAAGCCGCTTTTCACCATGTTGTATGTTGGCGAGTCGCTAGTGTTCTCGGTCCACTAATAATGCTGTTTATCGTAATAATAATCAATGGAATCTTGTTGTTTAGATTTGTTTTTCTGTTTCGTTCTTCAACAAATAGTTTACCTCGTGAGAGATAAGATATTTAACCACAACCAATATTTATTTCTCTTTTTCTTTTATCATCATTACATATTGTTATACTCTTCAAACTAGCAAATAATTATATTCTGCTAATGTAATATTTCATTTTTATTTTTTCAATAATTGGTATCGATTTTTATTGAACCTTTTGATTTTTTTTTTACAAGGGACCCACGATTCAATAATGAGACATTAGCACTTTTACAATTTTTTGCACAGAATCCTCTACCGCAGGATATTGAAGTTGAAACATTGCGTCTATATGCAGAAGACATACATCAAAAAATCAATAAAAAACTTCATGAAACATTCAAAGGTACAATAGAAGAAAAAACTGTGAAAACTAATTCTACAGGTAGATTTCTGTTTGTAAGAATAATCTCATAATGCAACAGTACGCATTTCAGAAATACCGATTACCATCTATACACCACTAAATGTTAATAAAGACAAATTAGTTATTTATTTTCATGGTGGAGGTAAAATCGTAAAGATAAATAAAATAAATTTCTCTAATGTTTTATTTATCAAACATCATAGGTTGGGTTGTTTGTAGTCCAAAAACTACTCAAACAATTGTTAATTATACTGCTGAGTACATATATACTTACTTTGATTCATTTTTTAAAAATATTCCTACATAGTGTGACAAAAACAATTTGGATTTCTGTAGAATATCGTCTCGGACCTGAATATAAATATCCAATTTGGCTTGATGATGCATTGGATGTTACTCAACATATCATTCAAAATAGAACAGCTTACGGTTTATTTTCACTCACGAAGTCTTTAAATATCTATTAATTTTCGTTTTAGGTGTTAATGAAACAGCCAAAATTGGGGTTGCTGGAGACAGTGCTGGAGGCATGATTAGTGCTTCACTCTCTCATTTATTAAAAGGCATCGATTTTCAAGTATAGAGTTCTTCAATGTTTTTTAAATTCGATGATATTCATTTTTCTAAATAGATTCTTATTTATGCTGCATTAGATATCCTTGGTGAAACCCCATCTTATAAAGAATTTGCGAATCCAATGTATTTTCTTACGCCTGAACTCATGAAATGGTATAGAAATTATTCGAAATTATGCATAACAAAAAATATCAAATTTGTTTTTAAATTATTGAATAGGTATTCAACACATGCATTTCATAATTTAGATGATGTGAAAGATCCTCGAGCATCTGTGCTACTCAATAGAACATTTGA